CTTCGACAACACCCAGTGATAAATGGCTCGCTCTCTCGCAGTCTTACTCACACTCTCTCTCTCTCTCTCACACCACACGCACGCCACGCCACGCCACGCACGCCACGCACACACACACACACACACACACACACACACACACACACACACACACCCTGTCTCTCTCTCCTACTCTCACTACTCTGTTTCTCTCACTCTCTCTCTTTGTCTTCCTCTCTCTCCTACGTATACTCCCGGGACCCTCGCCTATTACTCTCTTCGCTGTCTTCCGCGGCACTGTCAGCGGAGAACAACGAGCACAGTCTGATGGTTGCCGCTGTTGACCCATACGCGAAGTACGGACGAGGTTGCATGTAACATTTTTAACGAAATTTTAAAACATAAATAAATAAATAAATAAATAAATGAATAAATAACTAACTAACTAAATAAATAAATAAAAAATAAAAATTATGGCTTACAGCTGAAAATAAACAGCTGATAGAGTGTCCGCAGGCGAGTGCGGTGGTGATTGAGCGAACATCGTTCGGAAATTAAGAGCAGCGAAACCGTCCGCGACAGTCGGCGGCTGCCGGTCACTGGATAGGAGCGCCAGGACACCGCAGACAACAGTGAAGCCGCTGTTGCGCCCGGTAAGTGAAGGAATACAGGTAGTATGCATCGACGACAGTGCGAACTAGAGACGGTCAATTGGCCATACGTAGCTATGGCATACTAAGTTCCTCGCTGGCCTTGCACAGCGCGACGCACGCACCCACGCACGCACGCATCGCCGCGCGCGCACGCACACCACTTTTTTTACTGTATTACGTCTCTTACCTCTACTGATGCTGTCGCTGTTGAGTGGCTGATTTTCGGACATACTGTATGCCACGCGCGTTTTAGCTTTGAAGATGGCAAGGAATGGGCCGAATTGTGCACATTTACTCATGCAAATGTTCAGGCACGGCCGGCGACTGGATCCCACGAATACATTAGCCCTACATAACTTAAGAGCACACATAATTCAGCGTGGACACAGAATGAATCTCTCTTAGATAGCCTACACAATTGAAGAGCACACGTAATCAGCCGTGAGAATATGCATTTTCAGAAATTGCGTATCGAAACACAGTAACCTTCAACAAGCGAATTGCTGGGCGCGATTTACATTCCAACCGGCATCCATTTGAAGTCCGTCGCACACTACCCAAAAATCGGCTCGTACCTTCCAAAAAATATCTTCAGCGTTTTGTAAAATAGGCTCATTCGCGACCGCGCTTCACGCGATAAACCCGCGCCACCTTACGATAAAATGCTGATTCATAATAAACCTACGATATAAATGTAAACTGTCATGTTGAAACACGGGCCCGTTCAGCTCAACTTGGCTGTTCAAGAAAATCGCTTTCAAAAAGATCGTTTCAAATCAAACATGTTTGATTTCGGAACGAATCACCGATAAATTAATAATCGTAAGTAAAATCGTCTACAAAATGAACGCGCACAACTAGCCCGATATCGCCTGATTTTTAATCCGGGCGCGATCAAATCGCCGTGAAAATCGGCTGTGTTGAAAGTGGCGGTTCAAAATCAAACATGTTTGATTTGGAACGATCACCCGATAAAAATAATCGTAAGTAAAATCGTCTACAAATGAACGCGCACACCTACCCGATATCGGCTGATTTTTATCGGGCCGATCAAATCGCGTGAAAAATCGGCTGGTGTGCGACCCCCTTAAGCAGGCAACGACCCCGGTGCTCGGCGCTCCTACCTGGTACCATCGGACATTAGTCGCGACCGGTCATTATATGCACTACCCGCGTCATAAATTAGTTTAAGCCTAAACAGGTCGCGGCGGGGATGCGGACGGCTTAAAAAGGACGGGTTTTGAGAGAAACGAGAGAGACGACGGCAACCTGTGATCGGTACGTGTACACTGGTTTGACTGTGCTGTTTACCCGTATTTATAATTAAACTGTAGTTTTCACCGTTTATACAACTGTTACGTCCTACTGTCTACGTTCGAGATATATTCAACACTACACTACAACACACGTGCACTTTGTTCGTTTTGGTACCACGATAAATTCGAAGTTGTATCTAGTGACATAGCCGCGCATTTCAAACGTAAAACCATTCAGGTTATGCATCTTATTCAGTGCAATGCTGAGTAAACACAGAGTACGCTAGAGCACCTTGCTCTGCGGGTAAGAGAATAACTGTCCCGCTCCCCGCGCATGCGCACACGAGATTCTTGATGCACTTCCGTTCGGTCGCCCCGGTTCGTCGAAATAGTCAATAACAAATACGCGCGATTGCCATCTCCTGCGTCTATTGTGCGTCTGAAAGCAGCTGCTGCTTTCATGTGAGCAACTCCCTGTATGTAACTCACCTACTATATATACGCGAAACTCTGAATATTAAAATCAATCAAAAATCGAGAGAAACGTGCATCGATTGAGCCGGTCGTGCCGCTCTAGTTTCGCACACAGACTGGATAAACCAGAGTTAATATAGCGCTCCTTGGTGGCAAACATTCCATGACCAGCTTCATTCGTCGCGCGCAGAACCACAAAAGACTCGAGCTTTTAGAGCCAACGCTCTATCTTTTATTATTGAAATTTTATTTAACAAAATTGTTTAGTAGCGCGAATAGACGCGGATATACTGAATTCAAATCAGATAATGCCGGTAAGTGGGTATGCGAATACTAACACATACTGCGCGTGCTTGTTCCAAATATAGCGTGTATGAGGAGAAAAAGCCAGAATGCAGGAAAAGCTAGGAGAGTTAGAAGCTGACTAGTTTATTGCGCTATTTCAGTATGTACAGTCCACGTATAATAATGTGGGGATAGAAACAGGCGTGCGTCACATTTTTTGTCTATCCAACTGCACTCTCACGAAATAAAGTGAAATCATAAATTCTAACAAACGTTCAGAAAATGTTGAAGTTCAGAGCAGACGTATAGATGTTGAACCCAACAAAGGCAACGAAATGATCAAAGTGTATCACATTCTCTTGCGCCTTGCGACAAATTTAATCACGCGATCGGGCATGACGAATGTAGTGCGATAAAGCATATATGCAACATCAACTGCATCATCAACATCAACATCAACAACATCAACATGCTACATATATGCAACATCAACTGCATCATCAACATCAACATCAACAACATCAACATGCTACATATATGCAACATCAACTGCATCATCAACATCAACATCAACAACATCAACATGCTACATATATGCAACATCAACAGCATCATCAACATCAACATCAACAACATCAACATGCTACATATATGCAACATCAACAGCATCATCAACAT